TATACGTTGCCCAGGGTGCACCACGTGGAGGTAAGTCTATCGCACACCCCATTAAAGTCAAAATCTGCCCGGTAATCACTGATCAAGCACACAATTTGCAGATGGATGTTAAAAATGCAATGAATATATTATTTTAGAAGATTTTAATCAGCCAAAAATAATTTTCTCGATATTCCAGAAAATTAGAAGTAACTTAAAATTCTTTTGATTCCGTGTTTTAGAAATCGTTTAAATTGCAGCTGATTGCTACGCTAATAGGCCTTGACTAAACTCAGAAATCTCTGTGACAGATTCTCCTATATCTAGCTAAACTCCCAGAACTATCTAAGCTACATCCCAGTTATAGAAGAAACAGACGAATCGCACGGAACACGTCTATTTAGTAAGTATATTGTGATAAAAGTGTACGTGCCACATGGTTAGTCATAATCTGCATTATGAAAATGCCTCCTTAGAGAAAGTCTAGTTGAAATCTTCTCACTTTTGGCAAGTGACACTGAACTCCGCAGATAATGTTACATAGAAAAAGGAGTTTAGGAACCCGAATGTATTAGTAAATATTCAAGAAGTTGGAGTTGAAAGAAGCAGATATGCGGTGGAAACAGAGTTTTACCTTCTTGCTTCGAATTTTTGCCCTCGAATTGAACAAATCTCTTTCACTTTGCCTAAGAATCAACATCAATCAATCACGAATGAGTCAAAACACGTAGCTTGAAATCCTTATTTATCCATTAAATGTGCATTGCACTGAGGATAGAGAAGAGAAGAGAGAACGCATCGCTATTTAGTAAGTTGTATTACTTCATTTCGTGTTATTTTAAGAATGTGAGCGTGAAAACAAGTTGGTAAAGCAAAGCAAAATAATTTTGAAAGTTAAGAGAAAGCTATCAAAGACCGTCTGGGAAGAAAACAATGTTACGCGAAGTAGTTGTGCAAAGGGCATTCTAAATCCTTGAGAGTAAAATATTGATTTAGTACTTTGAATCCGTTTGGTCTGAATAGCGGAAAATATTGGCACATGGAATTAAAACAAAAGCTTTTGGAACGAAACAGAAAATTTAGGTCAAATCCTTAACTTGCATTTGTGAACATTAAATTACAAACAATGAACGAAGTCCACAATTTCTTTGCTTTTTTTAATGACACTTGGTAAAAAATGTTATCTTTGGTTTCTATTTCAGATTCTTGATAGAAACTTGTCAGTCAAAATATATTTTTTGAGAACTATAATGGTTTAAAATCAATAATGTCATAAGATTACTGCCTTGTTTGACAAGGCAGTAATAAATATTTAAAGTAATTTCAAATTAAGAATTAATTAATTTTTGTATTATTTTGGTTCTTGGATAATGATTTATTGAATTTTCATAAATATGGGAAATAGAACGTTAAGTAAACGTCACTAATGTAACCCAAGACTGGTCATAATTTGATGTCAAAATGGGTGGAAAAGTTCATTTGACAAGAAATATTGATAATCTTATTTTACCCTGGGCAAACACTTCACTTTTAAATTATAATTCCATAAGAAACAAAAGTGGTAGAAATTTCTTATTATTAATAATTTTAAACCATTTGATTTCACCATGTGATCAAACTGAAGATATGTTTTGAACTGAGAAAGGTGATGATGAAATGATTGAGATTTGAGAACTAATCATTGTTTCACCTTCAACATTTATTGGCAAAAAACTACCTTTTAGAACAAGCTATTTCATAGTTACCGTAGATTTGGCAAGTCTATAGTGCTTTAAACAATAGCTACAAAGTAGATACAAATTTCCCCTCAAAAGACCAAGAAAGTTTGCCAAAGGTATTGATTTCCGTAACCATAAGGAAAACCACTCATCAATCAACGTAATCATATTTTATATTGGTTGTTTGTGTTCTGGTCTTTTTTGTACAATAAGGCAAATTAAGGGATTGAAAGAGGGAGTAAAATTATTAAACACTGTGAAAAATTTGTGAAATCTACATTAATGGGATATCGGAGCTTATAATCAGTGACCAAAGAGGGAGCTTTATAAACAGACGAAGGGGTTTCTTAAAATTCACTATACAATGACTGCGAATCGATACAATTGTAGATGGAAGTGACTTGGATGTTATTTGGTCGAGGAAATTTCGTTTATGCAATTTTAATGATTAGTTATTTGCCAGTCTTAGTTAACTGTTCTTGCCATACTACATGGCCTTCTCGATTCCTAAAGGACGGAATGGCTGCTTATGACAACCTGAGCACTTTTTCCTCGGTGCTAATGCTTCCACTTCTCTTATAATCTCTAATATCACCAACCCCTACTCTTCCCACCCCCCCCCTTCCAGTTCTATAACATTTGTCAAATGCCTAATTGTCCATCTAAGCTCTAAATAGTCTCATTTCGAGAAGGCTACTATACCCTAATGGACTTCAGGAAGATAATGGGTAGTATCTTCGCACTAAACATTAAAGTGATTTCGTGCTTCGTTAGTTAGTTATGTTGGACCATATCCACTTTTTTGCTACTCAGATAGTTGATTATTTTAGGCATTGGGATTTAATGGCATTTGTTATCAGTGTGAATGCTATAGAAATTTTTCTATGTGCAAAGCTTGTTGATTTTCAATTGATTGACCAATGGTCTATCAAAGCAATTGTCTATTTAATTATTTATTTGTTTCATATGGCAGGCGTTTTGATAATTAACATTATCCCTTTAGTTAATTTCGGGCTCCACAGAGAGGAGGAACATCAAAGTGAGAAAAAGTTGAAAGAGGGAACAGAAGAATGATTCACAGATATAAAAGAGACAGACACAAAGGTATAGAGGAAAAGGTAAGGTCAGTACTGCAGAAGTGGACGAAAATGACATAAAGTGGAGTAATGGTTGTCTGAAGTCAACTGAAGGTTCATCGATTTTATTGCCGTATGAGTATACGTAGCTCAGGGTGCCCCATGTGGAAGTAAGTCTATCGCACACCCCTGTTTATTTGATAAAAGGCTATTCCTAAATCACTACGATTTGAAGACCCATAACATTTATTATTGGGGATTCTTTGGCTGTTTATCGATTAATATTTCTTAATCAGGTTTATGAATTCGCACACAGTGTTGTATGTTTAATTTTAAACGGATATTGGCAGTATATTGAGAATTGAATATTTTGCATATACGCTAAATAGTAGTAAGAACATGGTATCCAACGTGCGAGAACCAAAAATTCAGTATAAACGAAGGGAGGATAAAATGAATAGCATTAAGCATTAAACCAGGTCTTCGATCTAATAAAACGAATATTCAATTAAGGGAAATAATGATACATATGAGTATGAATTTATTTTAATGGTAAAAAATAATTTTTTGCCTATGAGCAGTATTGTTTAATTTTAAGATATATGATAGCAAGGCAACTTCATCCAGGGGATGTCACCACCACCATGTTTGTCAGTTTCTTTAATTTTTATATAAGCAAGTTAATAATGGTTTAGACGAAGAACCAAACCAGCTATGACATCCTCAAATCGTATTGGGTAACCCATGCCAATAAAAGTTCATTACTAAGAATGCTGTAGCGGATTGCTATACCAATAAGCCTTGAGTATACTCGTTAATCCCTACGGGAGTTTCTTCAATGTCTGAAGTGCCTTTCAGGAATAGCTAAGTAGCCACAAAGCTACAGAGGAAACAAATGTATGAAATATTGCCTGTGGCGTTTTATTGACGGGCAAGTTAGTAAAAATATACACTTTCCACCAAAACCACAAAATGACTTTGGTTGATGGTTATTCAGATAACGACGTATTGGCTTTGACTAGCGATTGGACGTCATGCCTTTGGTCGTAGATTAGACGAGAGACCTTTGCTTTTGTCATGCTAAAGTTGTTTTCTCCAGATCATAGTTTTTGATAAAATTTACGTAATAATCGGAACATTTAGGGAGATAAACATGCAATAAGTGTGCCATATATTAAAATAAAAAATTAAAAAGACTAATTAAAAGACTAAGACTATATGTCTGATCTAGATGAAGCTACTCATAAGTTTTCTGATTGACAAGCAAAATTAGAATTTGGAAAGATCTCCATTGATGTAGTAAAATAATACATTTTTCTAAATAGGAGTGCTATTATTTTAGTAAAAACGTAAATTTCCAAAAAGCTTTGAGTTAATTCATTAACACTTAACCTGCCCTAATTGAATATAGAATAACTGAACGCCCGCGCATTATGAGCGCATTAAAAGCAAAAACATGGTCTGTCAACGAAACAATTTGATGAAAATATTGTTTACTGAAGAATTTGAAAAAACGCATTTGTGATGCTTGCGATTAAAATAAAAATATATTTTAGTCAATTTGAAAGTATGATTTTTATACAAATAATTTTAATAAACGGTCCCTTTGTGTTAAATTGTAAAATTAAATTGGCTTTATTTTGGAAAAAACTCTAAGCTATATCAGTCCTGTCTGATTAATTTAACAATTGGGAAAGCTGAAGTAAGTTTCTGTAAAAACTAAATTGAATTATTTTTCAGTCAATTATTCACCAAATATTTAAATTTTTATTTAACTTAATAAATTAAAATAGCATATTAAGTTTTAGTTTTCCTATATGATTTGTTTAAACGATTTGAATTAGTTATAACTCATAATTGCACTAATTGGGTGGTGAACCGTCTATTACCGTAAAATGTTGAATTTAAGGACAATCGCCAATTTGCCAAAATTATGCTTGCAGACTTTATCTGTAAGAGCTAAACATGGACTGCGTGAACCAACATGTCCCATTCGAAATAGAACTCCAAAATCGGTAACGGACCCCAATGTACTTTTTGAAAATCTTCAAAGTGGTCAAAATGTATTCATTCAGGGAGGCGCAATGACACCAACTTATTTGGTTAAATATCTTCATCAATATGCTATTAATAAGAATTTGAAAAAGCTTAAAACAGTGCATATTCATACGGAAGGCGAGTTTCCCATTAATAACGAAGATGCCAAGGAACGCTTCCGTAGTGTGTCACTATTCACTGGTATGAATTTTTATTGATACTTTAATTATTGATATTTAGGTGGCAACTGTCGCAAAGCTATTGAATCAGGCCAGGGTGATTACGTTCCTGTTTTCTTGCATGAGATTCCGAAGCTCTTTCGCAATAAAATAATACCTCTTCATTACGCCTTGATTAATGTTTCTCCTCCTGATCAACATGGCTTCTGTTCAATTGGATGTAGCGTCGATGTGACAAGAAGTGCTTTGGAAGCTGCTGAAGTAATCGTTGCCCAAGTAAACCCCCATGTACCCCTTTGCAAGGGTGATGCTGAGATTCACATTAGCAATATTGACTACATCATTGATGGTCCTATGCCTTTGCACGAATTGCCTATCAGGCATAGTTCGGCGGAAGAAAAGAAAATAGCTGAATTCATCACTAATGAATTAGTGGCTGATGGTGCTACCTTGCAAACAGGCATTGGATCTATCCCTGACTCTGTACTTTCTCTCTTAACCAAACACAAAAATCTCGGTGTCCATACTGAACTCTTTTCCGATGGTCTTGTTGATCTCTTTGAAACAGGCGCCGTGACAAATGCTGAGAAAAAGCTTTTCCCTGGCAAAATTGTTTCAAGCTTCGTGATTGGCACAAAGAAATCATTCGATTTCATCAACGGCAACAAGGGCATTGACTTACGAGATATCGCTTGGACGAATAACCCCACTGTAATCGCCCAAAATCCTCGTCCTACCGCCATTAACTCTTGCATTGAGGTTGATATCACAGGCCAAATTGTTTCTGACTCGATCGGTCCACGAATTTACTCTGGCTTCGGTGGTCAACTTGACTTTTTGAGAGGTGCTGCTATATCAACCGATGGCCTTGGTGTTCCTATCATAGCTTTGCAATCCTCCACCAAAAAAGGGGAATCAAAGATTGTTCCTTATCTTCATAAAGGAGCCGGTGTTGTTACCACTAGAGCACATGCCCATTATGTTGTTACCGAGTATGGTATCGCCTACCTTTTCGGGAAATCAATTCGTCAAAGAGCATATGAATTAATTCGTATTGCTCATCCTAGTCATCGGTAAGTGGAGTCATATCTCTCGCTCAAAAAATCCATCATTATTTTAATTTTACGCTTCCGATTTTAGTGAACAACTCGAAAAGGATGCATTTGAGAGGTTGAAGGTTATGCCTTCTTCTGATTAAGCGGTTGTCAGCATCTACCAAACTCAGGGAAAATGTATATTCTGCTGTCACCCTAGGCTTTTCGTAATTGCTTAGCTGTAATAGATCTTTAATCTTGGATAAAAAAATTTGTGCTGCATATAAAGCGTTTTTACGAAGCTCTGTAGACCAGTTTGTCGTTGACAACTGATTATCTAACTTTGTTCCTCCAGAATCAATAGCTCGTTTCACTGGTTTTCTTACATGATCTCGTGTTTTTTTCTAATTATCGATTTGAAAATGTTATATATCTTGGAAGATTGTGGTATTTACATGCTTTCAGGTATCGCTCAACTTTATTTTAGTGAGAAAGCAATCGTTTGGTTGTGGATGTTGTTCTGGTATAGGCTGCTGTTTCCACTGTCAGAACATTTCAATGGTTAAATTGCATGTATTAGTGGTATCGCGTATGTCAATAAATAATAGGAGCTTTTTCAGTTGATATTCCCTTTTATTTTCACATCCCTATGCCTGTTTTAAATTTGGAAAAGAGCACAGAATAATTAATTACTTGTGCATTTATTAATTTTCTCCGTGCCCAAACTGATTAGACATTGAGTTTGACCTCTCCTTTGGCCTTACATAAGGTTGTAGATTTATGTTTCTAAGTTTAAAGAGCTATAAATATTCATTTAAAATTTGACCCTAAGCGGCACCATAATGAAACTGATATTTAGATGACCTAAACGAGTGCTGCTATCACAGTAATAAATTCAACTAGTAATTAGTGCAGTAGTACTATGAAAGTATGCTTGAAACGTTGAGCTCAAGCAGAGGAAAATTACTGACCTATTATAAAGAACTATGAGTAATTTCAATTGAAGATTTCCTTGAAATGTCCTCTTCGATTTTGTTGATCCAACTGAAAAAATATTGTTTTCGTTAAAGCTAAAAGCAATCGAAGTGTGTATTGCTAGTGTCTGTTTGGGTCGTGGCCTTATAGCAGTTGTGAGATTGCGGTTTCCTGCAATTGGCATTGTAGATATATTAAACTAAAACCTATTAAGCTGTAATTAACCCATATTCTATACAGTGGTCTTATTTTCCGATTAGCAGGTTTACTGGGCTTAAGCTAACTCAAATATCAGTAAAATAGTGTAATGACCGTAAATGTGTCCTAGACTAGAGTCCTTTCAGAAACTATGCATAAATAACTAAGAAAATAACCAACAAGTTACGTTATTTATTCAAAAGTCCTCTCTACAGCTATTGGTTTCTCAGGCTTCAAGTCATTTTTCACATTTTCAAGCCTTTCAAAGCTGTTTCAATTTGATAATAGAAGAGTCTTTCGAGCTGTAAGTCACCTCGTTTCGTTCTCTTTCAGTGCTAGGTGCTCTGACTTTACTAAAAGGCAACGAAGTAGTTATATTGGTATCCTCTGGATTAGCTGAAAGCTGACATATCCAAGATCATCAACATCCACCCATTGACGAACATGAATAAAGTAAGGTTGATGTAGATTCAGTACTATTAATGTCTAAAGTATGCATTCAGAATAAAAGAAAGTTGGTAAGTCGCGTATTTGTTGACTGAACTAATAGGAAAAGACTCGGAACATAAAAAGAAAAGACCGGTATTTTAACTGAATTGAAGCAAATTTTTAAGAAAAATTTGTTCTGGACCAAATAAAACTGAATAAATTTATTTATTTATATCAAATGGCAGGCGTTCTGATAG